CAAAGAATGCTTTTCCAGAACTGGTCTGGCTTTTTTAGATGTTTTTTGGCAGAGTCTGATCTGGCTTTTCTATTCTTCAGGCTTATGAATGGTTTGCACCTTGTGGTGAACCTCTGTATTTGCTCTTGTGAAGTCTTCTCTTGATTGTAGACTTTGACAATGATACACCCACCTCTTGGAGAGTGTCCTTCACTTGTCTGGATGTTGTGAATGGGTGTTTCTTTACCATAGAGAGGAACCTGCGATCATCCATCACGGTTGTCTTCCGTGGATGTCCATGCGTTTTTATGTTGCTGAGCTCACCAGTGCGTTCTTCTTTCCTCAGAATGTACCAAACTGTTGATTTGTCCACTCCTGATGTTGCTGCTATCTCTGATGGATTTGTTTCGTTTTTGAAGCCTTACAATGGCCTGTTTCACTTGCATGGACAGCTTCTTTGAACATATGATATAGGTTCACAGCAATAGATTCCAAATGCAAATACCACACTTAGAATCAACTCCAGACCTTTTACCTGCGTAATTGATGAAGACATAATGGAGTAGCCCACACGTGGCCATGAAACAGCTTTTGATTCAATTGTCCAGTTACTTTTGGTCCCTTGAAAAAGGGGGATGGTTACTCCTTAAGAGCTGTAATTCCTAAACCCATCCTCCAATTTGGATGTACCTACCCTCAAATTAAACCTGGGAGTGTGAACTGTCAGCCCGTATCCATTATATAACTATAGCTGGAATTTGTGTTGGTAACTACCTGAAAAAAACTAAAATTGTGCCTGTGTCCTAATATATATGGACCTAACTGTGTGTGTGTGTGTGTGTGTGTGTGTGGTTTTTTAATCTTTTTTTTCCCCCCTCTGTTTTCACCTGTTTCAGTAACATCAGTAACACACCTCCTGTATTAGAGCGTGCCCCCCACGGATGAAGGAGCACTGAGGGGGCACTTTTTGGAGAACTGCATTTTCTGTCTGGGGATAGCGAAGTGTTAATTGTATAAGCAGATTTAGATACACTAACATATTGAAGCCGAACTCCAGCTCATGCTTTATAAGCAGTTACAGCAAACAGTTTTTGTTTTGTTTTTTTTTTAGAATAAAGACTTTACATTAACGAATAAAAGCTGATCATTGTAAGCACCCCTGGAAGTAGTACATACTGGGTGTTTTAATAACACTGGGTGGTTAGCTGTCTGAAGTGACGCTAAAAACGCACGTTTTTTTTAGCATTTTTGCATTACCGTTTAGGTGTGTTTTCTGCGTTTGCATTTTTTAGCATTTTTTTTAACAAACGTTTTTTGCTCAAAAAACTCTGGTTTGCCATGTTTTACTGCTTTTTTCAGCATTGGAGCATTTTTACAGCTAAAAAACTCCTCTAGAAACCCACTAGTTCTGGGGGGGTTTTCCAGCCAAAAAATACCCCTGCCAAAAAACACTGATTACAGTCTGTGTGCATGGACACGTAGGATAACATGCTGGGGATGGACACGTAGGATAACATGCTGGGGATGGACACGTAGGATAACATGCTGGGGATGGACACGTAGGATAACATGCTGGGGTATGGACACGTAGGATAACATGCTGGGGATGGACACGTAGGATAACATGCTGGGGATGGACACGTAGGATAACATGCTGGGGATGGACACGTAGGATAACATGCTGGGGATGGACACGTAGGAGAACACGCCGGGGATGGACGCGTAGGAGAACACGCCGGGGGTATGGACGCGTAGGAGAACACGCCGGGGATGGACGCGTAGGAGAACATGCTGGAAAGTGTACTGGCTGTAAGAAAAACCGCCAAAAGCCAAAAACAGCCGCTGTAAAAATGTCCCGTGTGCACGAGGTCTAAAGCCGGCCATACACGGGTCAAATTCAGAAAGCATTTTCTTTAGAAAATCTTTTCTAAGAAAAATCACATGCGCTGTGATTGGAGCCGTGTATTTTGTATGGCTCGCATCGCACCTGCACCAATAAGGTGCAGGACCCTTTTTTTGCCCGCACTAGAATCGGATCGCATGGGTATTCACACCTATGCGATCCTATTCTGCACATCGCACTGCGTTTTGCGGACCAATTTTGGGGTGTTGTTAACATACACACCCGCAGCGGTTCGCATGAAGGGGGTGCGATTGTGATGCGGTGCGGAATTTGCACTGAAAACGCTGAGAATTCCGCACCGGATCAGTGTGAACCCAGGCTAAAGGTCATGGGAATTCAATTCTCCCATGTGTCCTTGCTGGTGTGCATGTATTTTTATTTTTTTTTTTGGTAAGGTTTTTGAATCTCTTTGCTAAACAAAACCTATAGCATCAGAATGACATTGAAATGTTTGCGTTTGTTTGGGTAACAAAAAAGATCCTGAAAATACGCCATTCTGAACTTTTCTTGTAATGTTAATTAGCTTGGACAGCCTAAAAAAAGAAGCTTTCTGCAGCAAATCCCTCCATTCTCCTTCCTCCACACTTGAGCCCCGTACACATGGTGAGACTATCGGGCAAATGATTGTCCCTTTTTTTTTCTCTCTGCATGCTAGTCTCGTATCGAAGTGAAGAGTTTACTAAAGTTACGAAAATGCTCGTCCGACCGCATAAAAATTCGGAAGTGATGTCATGTGTTTGTGTTGTATTTTCGAACGGACGCTGGACTGATTAAACGAGAATTGTACGATCCGGTATCCTACGACAACATTTTTCGTGCTTGACCCGAGTCATTTCAGACAATTGCTGTGTACGAACGATCAGATTATCGTACGATCGCTTTGAATGTTTCTTTAGCCCTCGTGTATACATCCCTGTAAATCTACAAGTGAAGCAACCGGCAGAGAGAGGAAGGAGTGATGGGAAACTGTCTCCATAGCCAAAAGTTTTTGGGGTTTTTTTTTTAGAACTTTTTGTAGTGTAGGGAAAGGGTTGAATCTAGGGACGCGGTTTGGCTTCACTGCTGCCATGGGTTCAAGATGAATCCTGGCCAGTGCCGGGACAAAAGGTCATCTAGCTCCCAGGGTGAAGATGTCAAACGGCGCCCCCCCTCCCCACAGGATCTATGAGCATTATGTGTCGGCAAAAATCCCCTCCTTCCCCTTCTCCCCCCAAAAAATCCAGCACTACAGAGGGCTATACGATCAAGGCGTAGGGCCCCGCACTTGAAATGCCACTGGATGTCAGATTGCCACTGTGCAGTGTTTCCTTACCTGTCCCCTACCCATGTTCTTTGCTGTCCCAATCCAGGAGAGCTGCAGTGGCAGGAGGAGCTGGAAGGGAGAGAGAGCACAAGCCACCCCTCCTCCTGGCTCTTTCCTCCTCTCCACATCTGGCTGGTCTCCACCAGCACTAAGATGACATGAGTAATGAAGCTGGCAGCTTGTAGGTAGGAACTCTCCATGCAGTGCCCCCTACCTCACATGATACCACTGTGCCCAGGGCAGCTGGTCCTCCTGCCCACCCCTTGTCCCGGCCCTGATCCTGGGGGATTGAAATTCGCGACCCTGGTGCATTTGCTTGCAGATTCACCTGGAATATTTTTTTTTTTTTTAAACCATTGCGCACCGTGCAGCCTTTGAAGTATGACCAGCAGGTTTAGAAGTCCCATAAAGCAGGATTAGGATTACAGATATTGTAAAGGCACTGCATTTTTTTTTTTTTAAATTACAAACATGTTATACTTACCTGCTCTGTGTAATGGTTTTGCACAGAGCAGCCCCGATCCTCCTCCTCTTGGGTCCCCTGCTGGTTTTGGCTCCACCCCCTTTCTGAATACCCCCCATAGCAAGCTGCTTTCTCTGGGGGGCGCTCGTGTGTTGGCCTCCAAGCCAGCTCTGTGTGTTTATTAAACACACAGAGCGTGGCTTGGCTCCACCCCCTGCTTCCTCCTCCCTGGCTGTGATTGACAGGAGCCAATGGCTCTTGCTGCTCTGTCTAAGACCTCTGCACCTCTGCTCTTGTGCACATCGCTGGATTGAGAGCAAGCTCAGGTAAGTACTCAGAGGGACCAGGGGAGAGCTTGTTTGCAGAAGGTTTTTTACCTTAATGCATTAAAGTGTTACTAAACCCCCAACAGTGCAATCCGTCTGTATATGCAGTAAAGCATGCTTGTTATACTCACTGTGGAATCTAAGGGGTTAATCCTCCGCATTGTGTAAAAATGCTGTTTGATCCTGTCTTCTCTGCTCCTCCCCTTCTACTGTCCCCAATCCATCTGGATTTTTTTTTAATTGGTTTTGGGAGGGTGCATGTGATCAGCACAGGGCCAATCAGTGCTGTCCAGGCAGAGACGGTCAGAGGTCATGCTGCCTCATAGGACGGTCAGAGGTCATGCTGCCTCATAGGACAGTCAGAGGAGAATGAAGACTCCTACAAGCTTTAACCAGTGCTCAGCTGAGAAATCACAAGACCGCTATATACTGCTGATGAGAAAAGGTATTTAGCCGTTTTATATTTACTAAAATATTTGCATTTCCATGTTGTCTGTACTGAGGGAGACCAGATGTAGCAAATGTAGGTTTCGGGGAGACCGGATAGAGTGGATACAGGGTCCGTGGAGACCGGATATAGTAAATGCGGGTTAAGGGAAGAGCGGATAGAGTGAATGTAGGGTCCGGGGAGAGCGGATATAGTGAATGCAGGGTCCGTGGAGACCGGATATAGTGAATGCGGGTCCGGGGAGACCGGATATAGTGAATGCGGGTTACGGGAGAGCGGATATAGTGAACGCAGGGTTACGGGGAGAGCGGGGTATAGTGAATGCAGGGTTATGGGGAGAGCGGGTATAGTGAATGCAGGGTTACGGGGAGAGCGGGTATAGTGAATGCAGGGTTACGGGGAGAGCGGGTATAGTGAATGCAGGGTCCGGGGAGACCGGATACAGTGAATGCAGGGTCCGGGGAGACCGGATACAGTGAATGCAGGGTCCGGGGAGACCGGATATAGTGAATGCAGGGTCCGGGGAGACCGGATATAGTGAATGCAGGGTCAGGGGAGACCGAATATAGTGAATGCAGGGTCCGGGGAGAGCGGATATAGTGAATGCAGGGTCCGGGGAGAGCGGATATAGTGAATGCGGGTTACGGGGAGAGTGGATATAGTGAATGCGGTTTACGGGGAGAGTGGATATAGTGAATGCGGGTTACGGGGAGAGTGGATATAGTGAATGCGGGTTACGGGGAGAGTGGATATAGTGAATGCGGGTTACGGGGAGAGTGGATATAGTGAATGCGGGTTACGGGAGAGCGGGTATAGTGAATGCGAGTCCGGGGTTTAGTAACACTTTAAGATAAAATTCCTTCTGCCATTAGAATCACTTTATGCTACTACAAGGGGGATACAGAGCAGTTAAAGTGTCAGTGCATTTGTAAGTTGGAAGCATAGGGAAAGCTGACAAATGGTATAGGGGGAGAGGACAGGATCCGTTAAACTGTACTTAATTCTGATTGCTAGCTGTTTGGGCAATAATCCCTACTGCTGCCTTCAAAAGTAGAGCATTCACTTGTTACTGACCCTTGTTCATGGAGCTGCCTTTTTGCAGCATGTTTCTGCTTTATTTGAAAGAAAAGAAAAGAAATAAAACTCGGTGCAAGATCAATGTACACCTTAAAGTGGTTGTGAACCTCCGATGTGAAATGAACAAAGCATATCCCTCTATAGTGTGTACTTGTCTCCTATTAAGAGCACTAAGTGTCATTTCTGCCTCCTCCTTCCTCTGCTATCAGCATGAGTCCCTTCTGACAAGTTTTTCTGACACCAAGAGAAACATGGTGACAGGGGAGGGACCTTCAACAGATTGACAGCCTCAGCTTTGTTCCTGTGTGCTGCGTCTCTTCCCTCCAATCAGCTCTCGCTGAGCTCTGCAGTTTGTAATTTCATCTCTCTGCCCCCTGTTTTCTGAACTCTAAAACAAGCTTCATAAATTCTTGACATTGAACAGATGAAGAGAAGAGAATACTGCAGATACACAGGTACAAGGTGGCACCAAAACGTTTTGAGACTAGCTCTGTTTACAAGAAAGTACTTTATTTATCTACGCTTACACAAGATCCCCTTCAAAATAGTCCCCTTGCACCGCAATACAGCGCTCCCAGCGTTCCTGCTACGTCTGGATTGTGTCCTGGAAGTCTTCCTTTTCACAGCGTGTCAAGCACCTTATTCGTGCTGGATCTCTGCAATGTTGTCAAAACGGCGACCTTTGAGCTGGATTTTCATCTTCGGGAAGAGGGCGAAGTCCGCAGGAGCCAAATCTGGTGAGTAGGGTGGGTGCAGATCATGTTGTTTCTGGAGACAAATTCACGTTTGGGGAGAGCTCAGTGACAGGGTGCAGGGAGGATTGCCTGGACTATTCCATATGACGCACCAACAATGGCGGCAATGTTGTAGATTGTTCTCCAAAGATCACCATGCACGAGTTGCCGATTGGTTTCATCATTTTCGGGGGTGGAGCTCGCTGAAGAACATCCTGATCTCTGGTTGTCTTTCAGTGATGTTCTTCCACTCTTGTCACTCCAAACATCTCGAATGACTCCTTGCAGGATCGGCTTAAACGTGCCAAATCCCGTCAAACGTCTCTGTGGCAGATTTGCCCAGTTACACACAGAATTCCACGTTTTCTCTTTGTGCTAACTTGCTGTCCATGATGAAAGAGCAGACGTGGTCAGCACAGCACCAGTTGCGCAACTCCCGATGTACACAAGACGATGTCTTTTGGCACACTGACTTATGAAGGTTGGTGCTCCCTGTGACTGTGCGTGCTGCCTTCTGTTGGCGTGTTACAAAACTAGTCTCAAATTTGTTTGATACCACTTCCTATGTAGGATTTGTTTCACTTCGGTGTATCACTTGAGGCCAGTCACTTCACTGGGTGTATTTAAGGGTTTACAACCACCTTAATCAGCTCACATTTTGTGACTGACATTGAATACAGCTACAGAAACTTTTGGCCTTATCCTATCTGTAGGTCAAAATGGGCCTATTGCCAGCAGGCCTCTCCTCGTGTCCCCCAAGGCGGTGGAGAGCGGGCCTGGTGTCCCCCAAGGCGGTGGAGAGCGGGCCTGGTGTCCCCCAAGGCGGTGGAGAGCGGGCCTGGTGTCCCCCAAGGCGGTGGAGAGCGGGCCTGGTGTCCCCCAAGGCGGTGGAGAGCGGGCCTGGTGTCCCCCAAGGCGGTGGAGAGCGGGCCTGGTGTCCCCCAAGGCGGTGGAGAGCGGGCCTGGTGTCCCCCAAGGCGGTGGAGAGCGGGCCTGGTGTCCCCCAAGGCGGTGGAGAGCGGGCCTGGTGTCCCCCAAGGCGGGGGAGAGCGGGCCTCTGCTCGTGTCCCCCAAGGCGGGGGAGAGCGAGCCTCTGCTCGAGTCCCCCAAGGCGGGGGAGAGCGAGCCTCTGCTCGTGTCCCCCAAGGCGGGGGAGAGCGGGCCTCTGCTCGTGTCCCCCAAGGCGGGGGGAAGAGAGCGGGCGTCTCTCCACCGCCGCGGTAGGTCAAAATGGGCCTATTGCCAGCGGGCCTCTCCTCGTGTCCCCCAAGGCGGTGGAGAGCGGGCCTGGTGGCCCCAAGGCGGTGGAGAGCAGGCCTGGTGTCCCCCAAGCCAGGGGAGAGTGGGCCTCTCCTCGTATCCCCCAAGGCAGGGGAGAGCGGGCCTCTGCTAGTGTCCCCCGTGGCGGTGGAGAGCGGGCGTCTCCTCTCAGTGGAGGAGAGCGGGCGTCTCCTGCACCTGTCCCCTCAGCGGCGCTGCCAGTGTAATGGCAGTGCTGAAGAAGCCGGAAGTGGGAACTCGACTTCACAATGAGGCTTGGAGCGCAGGTGGAGCCACTCTATCTGTGCTCGCCACACAAGGATTTTCCCTCGCGAGCAGCTTTTTC